GAAAAAATATGTGCAAAGTTATAAAAAGGCATAATTTCGTATTTTCCATGTCACTATCAATTGAATGACATAATTTTAGAGAAGAGAGAGAGGGCTCACTTTAGATTCGAATGGCCAGAGAGGAAGCTGGATTCAGTGTGAGTGTTGACTTAGAGCATCAGTAAGACAAATAGGGATTTAAGTGGAAAATTTAGAAATTGGTGGGGATGCCAGAGCAAGTTCAGGTCAGGATCAGAGAGTATGTCTGAGCACTGGCTCCTGAGCGAGCCATCATAGCTGAGGTTTAGGAACAAATCCAAGAAGTTGACTGAGACTCATGTTCTTCGAAGAGAGCCAAGGAGTAAAATGAGTGATGTGAATAGGAACCAAGACACCTACCTGGACCTGGTTACCAGGGACTGGTTTCCCCCAGGAAGAAGTATATTCAAAATTGGTACTTTTCACCAAGCCCCACCTTCTTGGGGTCAGGGAGGGCACTATTCTAAATTTGGTTACTAAAGTAGACCCTGAAAGCAATGGACCCAGACAGCACTCCAGAGGTGGAGGGAAGAACCCCATGATTCAATCAAAGGTGGGGCAAGCATTTTGCTTGGTGCAGTTTTTTTTTTTTAATCTAATTCTACTTGATCTTTTTTAATGTATTAAGCATTCCAAGATCCTTTTATTTTAGTAACAGCATTTCTTGCCACTGCCAGCTATGTGTTTGCCCATTTCCTTTCACCAGCCTTATTTTCTGTACCTCTTTCCATGGTGCCACTTGTTCACCTTACCTTTCTCATTCCAGATTTCCATATTCCACAGAGAACTTTAAATCTATAGTATTCTGGACAATAGGGCTTTCAAGTGTCTTTTTATTGATAACTTAGAACCTATCGTGTACAGGACAGCTGGGTTTTTAAGTTCTTTTTTTTTTTTAATCATATCTCAAAGTCTAGAACCCAGTCAAAATATCATTAGTATTGGGGCCAGCAGGTGGTGTAGTGGTTAAGGCACTAGACTCCCACGTGGCCAACCACAGTTTGAGTACCAGATCGTGTGACTTGAAACTCATACTTGGTACATGTGAGTGCATACCCAAAGTCCTGGGAGGAGAATGGAGAAGGGACTGTGGAGTGACCATTCCCACCACACACGTGGTGTGTATGTGTGTGCGTGTGTGTGTGTGTGTGTGTGTGTGTGTGGTTTGTGTATGTGTGATTTCTCACTTTCACTCTGTCTCTCCAGTGAGCACACGTGCCCTATAGAAAAATCTCTCTCAAGGGATCAGCAGTTGGCGTAATGGCTGTGTTGCTGGACTCCCATGTAGTTGACCGCAGTTCGAGTCCCGGACCCAGCGGCTTAAACTCAAACTGGGCACATGCCGTGTGTGCGCCCAAGATACCAAGAGGAGAACGGAGGAGAAGGAATTGCACCATGGCCATTCTCACTTTCTGTCTCTCTGTCTCTCTCTGTCTTTCTGGCGAGTGCACACACCCTAAAGCAAAAACTTCTTCAAAAAAAAAGAGAGAAAAATCTCACTCACCCAATAGATAAATAAATAAATAATAAAGATTGGTATTACCAAGACACTGCTTTTATAGATTTAGTCGTTTTAAAAATCTTTAAGAATTATTTTTTAAAATCTTCTGATGTCTCAGGTATACTCTTTGTGATCCCTGAGTATACTTGAGACATCAGAGTATTAAAGTGTAAAGTGAGGCCCAGCCACAGTAATGGTTGCTGGTCAGTGCTGCTACTTGGCAGACTGAGGCCACAATAGAGCCTGGGTTCCATTCCTGGGCCACCTTATAAAGCTGGGCACAGGGACCAGCGGATGGCATAATGGTTATGTTGCTGGACTCCCATCTAGTCAATCACAGTTTTAGTTCCAGACCTAGGAGCTTAAAACTCATGCTGGGTGAGTGTGTGTGCATGCCCAAGACTCCGGGAGAATGGAAGAGAAGGGATTACCACATGGCCATCCTCAGGGGGGTGATTTCTTGTTTTCTGTCTCTCTGTCTCTCCGGTGAGTGCACAGGCCTTATAGCAAAAGTCTCTCTCTTAAAAAAAAAGAAAGCCAGGCACAGAGGTGCATGCCTATAGTCCCAGCTACATGGGATCCCAACATAGCTAGACTCTGCCTTGAGATAAAGAAAAAGGAAAGAAAGAAAACTTGTCTTAAATGTAATTTCTATGGAATATTATGTACCAGGAATAAGATTTCTCACAGTGGTTGTATATGTCCCCCTAATTAATCTCTGGGACCCCTGAGGCACCCACGGGACACACAGCAACATGTCTCACCTCTGCAGCAGCCTCGTTTTCATTCTGGAGAGATTACTTTATCTTTTAGTCATTTGAGATCTTGCCCTCATTTCATTACCAATTAAATTTATTTTTACAGAGTCATAAATTAATTATTTGAGGTAATGATACTGAAATCTATACCTTGTTCCAAAATCTTTTAAAATTCTGGGTAATTCAACAGTTATTGTGTTAATCTTTATTAGTATTTAAAGGAAATGACTGACAGAAAATTAAAGATATCAACTTCTTAAATAATACGATAGGACATTCTCAGATTACCAAAACCTGAAAGAATTTACCAGCACCAGACCAGATCTCCAAGAAGTTCTCAAGGGAGTGCTATATCAGGAAAATTAAATACAGACACACAGAAATAAGAGTTCAAAAATTAAGAAAATGGCCAACTTAATCATAGGGACAAGTCTGGAGTTGAAATATTATATCCCAGCATTCAATCAGGATGATCGAACCACAATAGAAGAAAGATTAAGTACACAAGACTGAACTGGTGAAATAGCATTTTATGACTTTTAACTAAAATATTGCTGAGTTTCTTCTAGGCTTTGTTGTCTGGTTTTAAGGTTTTTTTGTTTTGTTTTTGTTTTTTTTTTCCTTCCTGGGAACCAGCAGTTAGTGTAATGGCTATGTCGCTGGACTCCCACGTAGTCGACTGCGGTTTGCGTCCTGGACCCGGTAGCTTAAAACTCACACTGGGCACGTGTGCGTGTGTGCCCAAGATCCCGAGAGGAGAATGGAGGAGAGGGGATTGTGGCGTGACCATCCCCC